ATATAAATATGATGTTAAACACACACACACACACACACATACACACACACACACACACCAACTCGGAACGTACCTTATGTAGTGTGAGGGTGATACTATACAGTGTCTACCACTTCATTTGTGCACGAACAAGCCTCTACTTTCACTTTAAAGAATGAGAAGCTATTGGTCTCCCACCTCTTCTTTACAAGCAAATAAATCTGTGTTATGTGGAAAGATCACACGCTCACCTGTCTGTTTCTTTGTCTGTCCATGCATGTACGCATGTATGTATGTACGACTTTATGTATTTCAACTCCACATAGACTTCTATCATAAAGCTCCATAATGTACACATCAACATATATCAATCAATTTATGTTACGATCGGAAAAACATAAGCCAGAACGTGTTCCGACAGTTCACTGTGTACAACGTCATAGAATGAGTGGAAATTTAAAGTGCTGAAAGTATGTTCTTTGTACATGTATTAGCTATACATAAAACGGATAACTCGCGTGCTAAATCCTGCAGTGGATGTTTACGTAATATTAGGAGTTGACGCTAACGTTACTTATGCGTCTGACTCTAGTTTATTCATGTTGTTTGATCTTAATATATATAATTTGTGCAAAGACAAAATCTTGCACAAAAATAGCGAAGTAGAAACAAGAATAACAAAGTTAAAGACAAACCCTTTTTAATGGTATTCAAAAGTTAGTTGGTGGCAGTTTTTTCCGAAGCCAATGTGTTAAATGTTTAAATCATTATAAAGTATGTTGTAAATCATGGATTTAGCTCAGGGGCGCCCGCAGAATTATTTTTGGTGGGGGTGAACCAACATTTAGTGGCCAGATATTAAGTTTTACATATGTAGGCCAAAACATGTTTAGAGATGAAATTCGGTGCGGAGGGGGTGGACCTGTGCAGAAGGAGCCATATAATCTTGTTTATTTGAAGTACAATGGTTTAAGAAGTGTTCCTCCTTGCAGTTGTCCCTTGGGATGGTACAAATGCAAAAAAGAAAAGATAATGTTATGGGGATTTGCTGGAGATATTGGACACCGATTCCATTTTAAACAGGTTTTGATCCCCTTACCACTACCCTAGATTGACGCTTTGAATTTTGAATACTCCATGTAAGTAAGGTGTGACCTATATTATCAAGAACACCAAAATATTTTAATAATTGTAATTATCAATGCAACCAAAAATGTCTTTATTCATTTATATAATCTTTTATATGTGTAGGTTTTATTGATCTCCTATATTCTACAGCATTTAATTTGTATGATGTCTACAACACCGAAACCGTCCCAGCAACTGAAACAGAATTCCATTTAAATTTAAATTGCAACATACAAGCCTTAGTAGTAAGCGTACGCGAAAGAAGTCGGGCTAGTCTTTCTTTGCTGTTTTTTTTAAAATTAAGAAATTCAAAATAAAAGAGCAGAAAGACTTTCATATCGTTATACGTTACCACCATTTTATAGAAGGATGCGAAAACGTTAAATAAAAAATAAATATTATTTTTTTAAGTGGCCGGTTTAAACGCAGGCTTACTGTAGATGCACTTCGAGCTTTACACAAATCAGAATTTATAATTACCAGACAATCATTTCCGAAGGAGGGAAACACATTTAGGATGAACGTGTGCATGTTTTTGGGGAAAAAAAAATCGAAATTATAATTCACCTCGCCATTGATATCTATATGTATTGCTATTCCGTACTGACATACGAAAACACTAAACATATATATATATATATATATATATATATATATATATATATATATATATATATATATATATATATATAATGTAAATTTGCACATAATAAATCATGGCACAAGGCCTTATAATGTTGAGTGTTTTAAGAGAGGTGTTATAAATAGTTCAGTACCTAGGGCAATTTCAACAATGCTGCTATCAAACGATAATGATATATATGACAAATCTGAACGGCATAAAATTACGTCAAATCACGCTGTGCTAGAGATTGCCATGCAAGAAAACAAACGTGTTGATTTGTTGATTCAAAACATTAAAAGAATATACTCCAATGTGTCCGAAATTATACAGATTGGCTGCTTGCGTACTATGATGATGACATCGACATAAAAAGAACCAGTTTTGGTAGACATATGGTTAAAAAAGTAGCGAACGACAAAGGAATTTATTACGTACATGATTTGATAAGTACACAAATTTGTATTCATGTAAATTTACAGTACAAATTGAAGATATCGTACAGTTTACATGATCACTTTTTGTTCTGATTAAATAAACATAGATATGATTTATAGAGGACACCGATTTAAATACCACACAAAGATTATGTATATGAGGCTGCTGTACTAGACTCAACCATAGGAATTGTACAAATTTGGAATGAACCTGAAATCTTTATTCGTTTGACAGGATTGAAACAAATGTTGCAAAGTGTTGAAGATAAAGGTTGATGATATAAGTGGTTGTCATGTTGGCTCATTGATATAAGTGGTCGCCATGTTGGCTCATTAATAAAGTGGTCGTCATGTTGGCTCATTGATTTAAGTGGTCGTCATTTTGGCTCATTGATATAAGTGGTCGTCATTTTGGCTCATTGATATAAGTAGTCGTCATGATGGCTCATAGATAGAAGTTGTCGTTATGTTGGCTCATTGATATAAGTGGTCGTCTTGTTGGCTCATTGATATAAGTGGTCGTCATGTTGGCTTATTGGTATAAGTGGTCGTCTTGTTGGCTCTCTCTCTCTCACACACACACACACACACACACACACATACAAACCGATATATATATATATATATATATATATATATATATATATATATATATATATATATATATAGAGAGAGAGAGAGAGAGACACACACACACACACACACACACACACTATGACTGCTATCTAAATGTAAGACCAAAACGACCTGTTTGCTGTGATGTCTCGCTCATGTAAAACCATTTCATAGGTTCTGCCTGATCTCTATGCCATATTTTCTAGCAGTATCCCTCAGTAATGCGATAGAAGCAGATACACTATGACTCCTATTGAATGGTATGTGTTTTTCTTGCTGGGGGGGGGAGGTAAACTAATTTTAAATGTGTAATGCTTAAATACCATTATTGAAAGGATTCCCTCTTCCTAGCCAGCTAAAAGATGTATTTTGGTGTCTATCTGGTCGTAGATATGACTAGTACTGTTTTGATGTATAATATGGCCACAATTTCAGTCATCTTTAACACATTATTACCGCTTCTCGTGAACAAAAGGTCATATCGATATGTGATTTGTACCTGAATACTTCTTATGATGATAGTTGGTCCTAAATAAAAATGGATTCACTCAAAGGTCCAATTTAGCTATCTTAAAAATTTCGTCACTGCTCCTCAAGAATGGATGGCCATATCAACATGGGGTTTTCACTAATATATATTTTATTATATCTAGTTCGTCCTAATTGAAAAATGGCGGCAATGAGAACTCCAGTATGGCCGCTATGCCCAAAAATTTTAGACATGGTGCTGTTGCTGCTCATCCTTAATGGAAATTACATGGGCAGGTGGCTTATTATGATATCTACTTGGTCTTTAATAAAGGTTGTGTCGATCTGATATCCAATATGACAATCACGGAGGCCATGTTTTGAAAACGTTATCACTACTCCTCTTAGACGAAGAATCGTGCCACTATTAGGTTTCCACTAGAATACTTTTTATAATGTCTTTAAATGAAGATTGCATCAATCAAGCAATCCAGTATGACTACCATGTCAGTCTTCTTGAGAAGTTTGTTATTGCTATTGCTTATCGATGTGATATTTTCCAATTGGCCTTTAATGGAAGTGGCGCCAATCTGACTTCTATTATGACTGACACCTGTTGATAATGATGTTTTCATTAAAAGTCTTCTAATCATATCTAGTTTATCCTAAATGAAAATAGTGCTGATGTACATCCACTATAGAATTCACACTGGCTAATTCGAAAATTTAATTGCACAAGAATATCACAGATGGTTTCAACACAGAAGTTAAAAGGTAGAACTTCAGTCCCTTTGAAGGACATTTGTTTTATATTTATTTGCTATAAGAATAAAAAGTTTGCCAGAGTGATAGATGAGCGTGACCATGTATGAGGATTATGCTCCATTCAGAACAGTTCCGAGGCAGAATAGTAGAAACAAGTCAACCCTCAATAAATTCACTATTGGTTTTGTATGTTGTGTCTGAGCTGAATCGACGGTGGCCAGGCCTGATTATAGATTGTCCACATTTGCGATTCACATGCAACTGACAAGAGGAACCTGATGTGATTAACAGTGAAACATGTCTCTTCAGAAACTTTCATATTAAGAACATGTTTATAAAAATATGGGAGCATTTGTAAGTTCCATTTCATAATTTCATCATAACATTGTAAATCGAAATGTCAGTGACATTTGCCGATACAAGGACAAATTTGTTTGCTGTCTTCATTGTCTATTATGGAAACGTTTAAATGCTTCTGTTGCATACCCAAGAGCTGCTAACATAGGAGCTAATCATATCATATACTTTCTATTTGATCACATACTTCATGGTTTGTTTCACTTTGTGCATACTTGAATGAATGAATATAACAAATTGAATCACATCAACTTAAATATCGTTCAAGTTTCTGGTTTGAACAGTACAGTTTGCAAAGACGTAGTATCATTATTTATTGATTCTAAAGTTTTGCAAATAAGTGATTCAGATGGGCAGTAATATATTACAAAATACACTGCCCATTGATGTGAACTATGACATGTCTTTGAATAAGGTTCTGTACTCCATTTGTTTCTGTACTAATTAACCTTCAAATTAACTAATTAAAGCACCAAAGTAAACCAAGATCTCATTTTGGAATTCCTGACAATTAGTAAACCCGCTTTTATCTTGGAGGTAAGTGTATATGTTATTTATTTCGTATTGAAAATGTAGGCAATATGCTCCTATTTGTTTCATGTTTGAAAATCAGAATTTAACATGAGAAAGATCCGGTGGCCATGTGGTTAAAGCGTCCTTCTCAGATGCGGGAGGTCGTGGGTTCTATCCCCGGCCGAGTCATACCAAAGACTTCCAAAAATGGTACTAATAGATGCCTCGCTTGGCGCTCAGCATTAAGAGGTTAGTGTTAGGACTGGTCGGCCTGGTATCAGGATAATCATGCTACATATCTACGTCATGATGACCCAGTGCTAGACATCACTATAAACTGCCACACTGCAGACATCGTAGCGATATGTCAGAACAATTGTTAAAGCTACGTTAAAAATCTAAACCGCACGCGCATCGCAATCTGACATGCCATTGAAAGGTTTATATATCGCTTATTTTATTGTTGCAAATAGTTGTTAGTGTGCGTTAACCTGGAATTCATCGTGAAATTCACTAATTTCAATATGAACTCTTAGATTTTGTAAGAGTGTCTTGGATACAAAAAATGTTTACAGTAAAGATTACAATGTATATCAACATATGAAGCTTTTGTTTGTTGATCTTTGCAGTGTATTTATTCTTTTGACCCTAGAAGGGAAGCAACTCTAAGCTTACTCTTTTTGGTGATCAATTAACATGATAGTTTTGCATGCCAGTTTGTTCTGTATTAACAGTCTGTGATCAATAATGTTATTAATGGTTTAACTGACGTCTTTACATCTAACTCACATAAATATTAAAGTCCATTACATGGCAGCTTGTTTAGGACAATGGAGGCTACGACTCTCTTGTATGAACGAAATCAAATAAAGGCCAGTTCTGTTTCTTTGCAACTTTTAACCTTGTAGTAAGCCTTCCTTGCTTCTTTGTGTTCTCGATAATGTTTATGAACCCTTTCAATTATTATCGAGGAAAAACCTACACGCTGAAAATAATAAAAATGCAATGAAAATCAAGACATATTAAGCGTGTCCTCTGTAAACAAGATTCTGCTAAGGTGGGTTTCAATTTCTGTGATGACATTATGATCTGAAGAAATTGTTTTAAAATCAACAGGTTTAATTTTTTAGCCAGTAGAGTCACGATATTTGCTAAAGTACATGTAATGTAAACATTATTTTGACAAATAAACATAAACAAATTAGTGTGTAATAACTAGTTTTGTTTTTCATTCACTTAAGCAGTTCGCTACAACATATAAAAATACTAATAAAGAATATGAACCTTTGTGAGAGTAGAATTGTAGCCATTTCAAGTGATTGTTTTGAAGCCATTTGTACTGGGTCTATGGTTGCAGCCGGGTCCTTATAAAATTAGAATGAAGGGGACAACCCTATCTGATTTTCCTTATTATATTGCTGTAATGTCTTCTTCAGAATATCAAGAAAACACATATTTCTTGTACTTTTTTAATTTTGCAATTTTTACTCCATGCATCTGATATTGATTCAGTTTAAATATCCCATGTAAATTAAAGCAACTGGAATGAGCCAGAGAAAACTGCCCAATGTTCATTTTACTTTAACAGCTTGTTGTTATTTAAACGTGTTTATGTAGCCTTAGATAGATCTCATGGTATAAAGATAACTTTGCATATTTGCATTTCTGTGGGAAATGGACGATGATCTTCTTTTCTTTCGGGCAGTTGATGAATGTAATAATACAGGAAACGATGTACAAATGTGGTACAAGATCATTCCAAAGACTCTGTGTACCTTGCTTTTTTATGCACCCCCATTCATATTGTTATTTTTTAGATTGCTCCACAGTCATTATTTCATAAATGTGCACCTTTTTCATAACGTACTTTGTTACTATCTGTGTGTTTTCTGGAATTATTATAGTGCTTGTTTGCAAATTTCCAAATTTAAACAAAATATATGTTTGAACAGAAAAATAATATATTAGTCGAGACTGGAATACAATATCTTGTTTAATGTTAGGAAAAAAATTCGATAATAAATATTATGTGTTAAAGGTCAGGGGTCAAGGAAAGCATAAGGATGTAGACAAGATTGGCTATCAATTTTGTTTCATGCAAATCACAAGACGGGTGACTCCATCCAGACAAATCAATAAATTGTTTGAATAAAAACAGAATGGACAGAACTTTTCAAAAGTTTCAACGTATTAAAATGATCATGTCAAAATAATTTTTACAATATTTTTATTCAATGTCCAGAGGTGAAATAGTGTTGACTCGTGATGCAGTACATGTAATAAATAAACCCAGAGACAAAACATTCAAATAATATTATACTGGTTTGTCTTTGATAATTCAGTTTTATAAGTGAAATAAAACTGCTGTTACGTATATGTGATTTAATGACTTGTGTTAATTTTAAATTTTTTATTTTATTTTTATTTCATTACATATTACTGTGATCATAACTTTATTCACTGGATTTTACATTTTTTTTTCGGAAAATCCAGTTTAGTTCTGCTTTGCTACATTGTATGTTTAGCTGACATAGTTCATGGCTTTGATTTAGAATTGAACAAACAACCTTTTTTCATTTCTCTCCTAGAGTGAAAAACATTGGTCTTATCAAGGTCATATTTGGCTTATGTGTCAGCTCTGATGTAATCAACTTTTTAAAATTTTGTTTTATTATTAAATCCTACCGTAAAATTTGTTAGGTAGAATCAAATTCGTCCATGGTGTACATGTCAATCGGCTTATGGTTATGTGATCACGTGACCCCATCACGTGATCTAAAATCGCGTTTAAAACTAGCGTGTAATAGTGATTTAATTTAGTCGTAAATTGATACTTTCGGCGCTTAATGATATTTTTTGTTGTGACTAGTTTCAGTTTTTCTAGTTTTCGGAATTAGTAATTAATTTCTCTGGAAAGCATACATAAGTGCTCTTCTTTATCAAATTTCTTGGACACAAACATTTATTGGAAACTATTCAGAATTCTAAAGCCCGAATATTATTCTTGATTCAACAAGGAACTGTTGACTCTACAGCACAAAACAGGAACTTCATAGGGATTCGAACTTTGATTCATTTAGAACTTTTTAGTTATATAACGTATATTTTTTAATTCTAGGACTAAGGTTTAGATTAGATTCACAAACTGCAAGTCATTTTTTTATATTTTTACCTTGCCTTTATGGAAATAAATTATTATGTTAAATTTTACAAAGTTTGTTGCTTCACTCTTTTCTTTGTTACTTTGTTCGAGCCTAGACACGTATCACTATGAGATTGATATATTTGTAGGTGTTGTCTTCTGTACACTGATAAGAAATTGATTGCCAATTTAAAACAATTTAATTTTTTTTGTCCTTTTCAAGGGACTGGTACCCTGTTCTTGCAAAATGTTTGCTGAAACACTGAATGGCTTATAGCACCCACCCCTTAATCAATAGCGATTTGATGGACATTCCATCATAAATTCAAGCTCCAAAAGACCTGGCTGTAAACAATTTTGCAATTGCACAAGCATGTTGAATTACATAATATAAGGTATTGATGTGGTCAAGCTGATTAGTTTACTACATAGCAAGTACAGAATCAGTTTATCACCACTTTACAATTTTTCATTCATCATACATTATTTTTTCAGTGTACACTTAAACTTCAATTATTTTAGTTAGAATTTATTTTTGATTCCACAGCCAGTATTATGCTTTTTATAAGTAGTCCACCCAAGAGATGACAGCGATTCTGTTAAAAGGTATTCTGTATTTTTATTGTATTTAAATTTATGCTTACAAGAAACGAGGCGTTAATTGAATGATATGATTATGACTCCATGAATCATACTTACATAATAATTTTAGCGAAAGGTATCATGGACAGCGTGTCACAACTTCTTGTGTGGATTCTGTAAATATAATAGCCCCGGAAAACTCTTTGATTAAAATCACACACACACACATACACACACGCGCGCGCGCTCACACACCCATACATACATACATACATACATACATACATACATACATACATACATACATACATACATACATACATACATACATACATACATACATACATACATACATATATATATACATACATATATACATACATACACATACATATACACATACATATATATATATATATATATATATATATATATATAGTTAGAATCATCAGCTTATTCTCATTCAATCAAAGCGGTATTAGGTGTCATAATGAACATCTAATCATCTTCGATATACATTATATATATATATATATATATATATATATATATATATATATATATATATATATATATATATATATATATATATATAAAATTATAGATAGATACCAGACAGAAAAGACTGTGCTATCCCTGGATTCTGGGATTCTGTATTAGAATCTTGATAATAGTGGGCAGAAATAATAGTTTAATACAAACCTGGGTTCGAACCTGGGTTATAAACTCGGTAGAGTACGAATTTAATTTCTCTAACCTGTATGATAGTATTGTTTGTATTAAACTATATATATATATATATATATATATATATATATATATATATATATATATATATATATATAGATATATATATATATATATATATATATATATATATATATATATATATATATATATAACATCATTGCGTGATATAATTTCATTTCAATTACATGTTGGATTAAAACCCTTGTTGGACACAATTACTTTCGTCAGCACAATTATGTAAGAAACATATTTAGTGACTAAAACTCTGTTGTTTTAAGCTAAGGAAAAAAAATCAACAGTTTGTAACACCCCGTGTGTTAAATATAAAAAAGACCAGAGTTCAGGACTTACAAATCATTTTTATAAATTTAAAGGTGAGATAGAACATGGTTTGTATTCTTTCGTAGTGACTTTACCTAAATACCGTGTCTATCACAACACTATCAATTTCTGATAATATAAAATAGAATTGTTTGTGTAAATGCCAAAAAAAAACAGCGTTATAATATACCAAATTATTGTGAAATTAATTCTATTATTATATCCCTGGGTATATTAAGAGCTAAATGTATTATATTGACTGTAACACATCCTGACATAGTAGAGTGATCTCAATGAAAAAGTTAAATTTAGTACTAGTGTCCTTAAGCAGTGTGATGGGAAATAACAGCGGTTTTATAAAAATTATATAATAATTATAAAACATTTAAATTAT